GCAACAAAGAGGGCGAGGTGAATTGGCAAAGGCGAGAGCCGGACGGGATGGTGACGGTGAGCGGGGGTAAGAAAGACAATGAAGAGGTGGTCGGCCGGCGGCGGAATGTGGCAACGAAGATATCTACATCAGGAAAACACCAAGCGAGCCATAGCTGCCATAGTGGCCATAGCACTGTGTAGTACTATGGCCACTATGGGTCACTATGGCATCTCTGTCTAGTGTTGCCGCGGTCCGGTCTTGTTCGGTTCGGGGCTGATTTTTTCGAACCCCGAACCGCACCGGCGGTTCGGTCCGCCCAAATTGCCAAACCCTGCACCGCACCTGGGGTTCGGTCCGCCAGAGGTTCGGTGCGGGGTTCGAACAGGTTCGCCGAGGTTCGAACCTCAATTTTTTCCCCACACCTGGAACTCATAGAAAATAACTGCAGACCTCTGATATGAACCCATGTGTAATGTAATTTGAGTAGAGCAGTGGCGAGCTGCCATACACCAGCAGTTGTGCCGTGTTGCAGCCACCCACCACACGTGATGGTGTCCGCGATAGCATACAGATAGCCCGTGATGATGGACTCTCTTCCAGCCGGGTATAGATTTGATTTGAACCAACCCAAGCAGACGGCCACTTTTGTTGCCGACATCAAGATGGTAACTCAGATAACGGTTTGCCGATGCTGCCGAGCCCACAATCAAGAGATTGTGGTGCTGATCATCAATGTCAAGCAGCGGCTGATGGGGCCGATGATGCCGGGAATCATTGGTGACTACTACCTGAATGATCAAAACGGGGATTTTGATTGATTTTGGTCATCTGAAGAAGCCAATTCAGCAGAGGTTCGAACAGGTTCGCACCGGTCCGCACTGGTGCAAAATTCTTCAGATGCTCTGAACCTCGAACCGCACCTCAGGTTCGGTGAGGTTCCACCGCCACCCGCCGGACCGCACCTTGGGTCCGGTTCGGGGTTCGCACATGTTCGGATCGGTTCTGAACCGAACATCGGCATCACTATCTCTGTCGCTTCGTGGCTTGACATATTGTCCGTTTCGAGTTGACACGGCTGCCACAACAAGCCTGGCAGCTATTTAAGTAGTGAGTTCGTGTCCTGGGCCACCTTCCCCGAGTCTCCTCCCAACTTCTTCGACTCCACCACCCTCAAGCACGCGTTTGACGCCAATTCCCGCGGCTACTTGCTTAGGTTCGTCCATCCGTGCCCGTTTGTGAGTACCCGCTGACTCCGAGTCCTGAGCAGTTGGTTTCAAACTACATGAGTTCACGTCCCGGCCGTTGAGTGCGTTCGATTGACGACGTACCGTGGTATTACTGCCCGCATGTCAAGACTTGAGGTTCGTCTAGTTGCATGCTATCTTGTTCGTATCGTTCCCGTGCGCCAACTGCGCGTTGTAGATTCTTGCGGCCACTGTATTATATAGTTAAATTCATACATTGCCATTTCTACCCTTCTGCCTCACCGGTATATTGCGCAGCTGCGCTGTGCGGGAATCCAAAGAAAGATTTGAGAACGACTTAATTTTGGAACTGTCCAGATTAAGCGTCGGCAAGGAGCTACTGCATAGTGCTGCATAGTGCTGCATAGCGGGGATGTGTCTATGAGCACTATGGCACTATGCAGCACTCTCCAGTGCTATGCAGTGTCCCCTGGTTTTCCTGATGTAGATGTGACAAAGGTGAGCGCTGGGCAGATCCCTCTTCGCATAGCTTGCGGAGCGTCGAGGGTCTGTAAAAGAGACTAGGGCAGATCAGTGACGATGAGCGGGAGCAACAAAGATAACCGACCTGTGCGTGCGTCTTCTGGGGTCCTATCTGGTTCCTTACGTCTTTGTCCTTTGTAGCTCACGGCTGATGCACGGCCGATGGACTGGTCATCAATGGCTCCTGGACGGCTGATGAGCGGCTCGTTACTTAAATAACTCTTTGTACTAGTCGATTTCTTTAGCAAAAGTACATAATGTCCCGGGAGATCGCTTTCCGGTACCCGTGATCGTCGACCTGTCCTCCGTCATCGCGCTCCTGTACAGAGTTTATCTGGCATGTTCTCCAGGGCACCGGCACGGCCAATACTGCATATTTGAACGCCATGGAGTCGTCGGAGTTCGTTAAAAATAAAAAAAGCCCTGATCCCGGCCTGTTCACTACTTCGGCAAAAAATTGGCATCAAATGCGCAGATCAAATCATCATGGGAAGACCCTCGCAGCGATGTCGACTTGTCAGTCGACTACCGGTGTCAGAATCACACTCGGTCTTTTCTTTCCGTTGGAGGTGCCATGGCAGCCTACAACACTTGGCGCACAAAATGCTGAGCCTCGACACGAGGATCATTTTCCGGCCGATCAACTATCTAGTGTACTCTCTGCATTGAACGCAGCCACAAATCTGAATTCACGATGTTTCAATTTGCCTCCTATAGCCTCTCCTATTCTTAGACGGGCACCTGAGGATGTGTGGCATCACAACAATGTTCAACCATCATAATTCCTGATCTGATTTGAGGCCAGCAATAAATCAACACAATAGAGACCTTGAAGTGTGCACAGCGCCTTCGGCATATTTTTCCTGAATAGCCCACATATAGAGGACCATTCTATTCTGCAAAAACACTCCCTGCCGATGAGCCGTTCAAGAGATATTTAAACTCTGTACAGGAAAGCCATATCAACTGTACATCAAATCATGGTCGGCTGGACAGATATCTGATGTGATCCGTACCGGAAGATGTTGCCGCGTGTACCAAATTTCTTTATCAGATGGGCATCAGGGTCCTATCAGATGGACCAGAACATCATCTCCCGTACAGGAAGGACATCTCCGTGGACATTTAAGGTACACGCATTTCTTTACGAATTCTATTTGATTACAAGTCCCGGATCAACGGCATTACGAGCGCCAAGAAAGGGTCACGGAAGGTCCAGGTCAAAGAAAGCTTCTTTGAGGGAAGCCTCTTTTGAGGTTACCTGGCTTTTGCCCCCCGTGTGAGGCTTGGGCTTCGTCACCACCCTCCAAGTGTCCACTGAGCTCAGCGCAGAGAGAGAGGCAGCGCGCAGCCGCTCTCTCCAACGTTTCTCCCTTTCTGGTTGCCGCCGACGCCTGGCAACGCGCCGCTTTCCCACACAGCCTCGCCGACCACTTGACAACGACGCCGTCGACGCGCGCGGCGCGCTGCCCTGAGCCACTCGACCGGCAAGCAAACCTTCCTATCGCGGCGATTTTCTTCGGAATCCTCACTCGACGCCTTCTTCTCACCCACGCCGTCGTCGTCCAGCAACATGTACTGGGAACTGGAGCTCGAGGCCCTTGGTCTCGCGCAGACGCCTATCCCTACCACCTTCGACCCCGCCGTCCCATCATCTCTCTACCCTGCAAACCAACTCCTCTTCGCACCCGACTTTGTCGACGTTCCTTTCCCGACGCCGCCTGCGCTTGAGTGTGGTTTCGGGTCTCCATCTTCCTTTGACGGTGGATACCAATCGCCAGAGGATGCGGGGTCCTATGTCTGCGGCTATTCATGTCCGACCTTCCAGAATGAATGGACGGACGTTGTTTATTCTTATATTTTGGACGGACTGTTGCATTTGTACAATATTTGCCTGCTGCAATACATCGAAACAGATGGTGCACAAAATCGAATCTCGATTGAAAAATTGAAACAACAGTCGCACCCGAATCAAACGGGTAGCTTGCACAGGTTGAACCGGCCACTCAAGTCTAGTAAACAGTCTCAGTGAGAAGCTTGAAAACTGTGCTGTGGACCTTCAAGCTGCGTAAAGAAGAGGCTTCGAGGTCTCGTCGAGCTTGTGAGTGGCCGAGCCAGCCATGTTCCAAAGAAACGCGGGGGATGAACTTAGACACTCTCAGGTCCGTGCAGCAGACATCTGACTAGTCTCTTACAACCAGACGCTAAGTAGTAATAAATTGTACTTCGTTACAGATATCCGGGAACTTGAAAGGATCGAAGAACTTCTAGTTCTCACCGGGGGCAAAGCCCGACGCATGTCCCAACGGACAAAGAGAACCATTCTGGGAGGTGTGACGGGTTTGCCGGGCACGGCGCCGCGCGGCATTGCGGCAGGTTCGACTTCCAATTCCGTCTCATGTATGTGACCCCAGTGAGTATAATTTATCAAGATTCACAGACAATGAAGTGCAATCTTCCATCCACGGGTGATGGCAGTCAGTCCTGCGAATCGACACGAGTACGAGCCGATTGTGACGGCTGTTTTCTGAGGAGCCTGAAGCTAAGGCAAGCACCGCTCGGCATTCAAGTCTTGGGATCTAGATCTGAGTTGCCATTGACTCGGCCAACAGCCGGCAGCCTCGGGCCACATTGATCTTGATCACCGACGGCAATTGGTTGTGTGGAATGGTTTCAAGTTGGAACCGAACAGGCACTATGCTCCTTCAGATCTGAAGGAGCGTAGTGCCTCAGATTTCAAGCAACTCGGTGTTCAACATGCCGTTCTCCCCAAGTTCTCCCAACGGAATCACTTCAACCAGATATAATTTGGGAAATTGCTCACCACCCCTGACGCGATTCTTCGGAGGGAATAACCACCGGATCAGCTTGGGATCAGCATTGGCAATCAATGGGTATGATCATGACGGCCCTTGTACTTTAGCAGCATGCGTGGAGACATGTGTGGAGATATGCATACGAGGCATGTCAAAATGACATGCGTTGGACTTTGCCCCCGGTGTCTGTCTCAGCGCTGACTGCAGTGAATTCGAAAGGGCCTGCTGGGAAGGAAGACATGTAGATTGTGGTGACAACTCTCAACCGCCGCACTGGATATCATAAAAAAGTCGAACTGTACGGTTCTACCATGCATTTTAACACCGTCCAAGTTCAACCGGAGTCTAAGCATTAACCCCTGCCCATCAACCGTATCCACGTAACACGTTGCCAACCGTCCAGGGTACATTGAACTGGAGCATCTCCGACTCCATCTCCGGGCAGCCCCTCAGACCTACTGTACTTAACTTTAATGGGTAAATAGTGTAGTTGGTTATCGCGCCCGCTTCGCATTTCAATCACGTGGCTGGGTTCAATTCCCAGTTTATCCACTCCTTTTTCTTCTTTAAATCCCTCTCTTTTCACTCTTTTTCTCACCGATTTGCTACCCTCGAACTCTGGGAAAGGTGGTGTTCCTGAAAATGAGGTGCCGCTCTTTTCAGCATCTAATAATACAATTTTTCGCAGTCGCCTACATTAGGTTTGAGTTCCAGGGACCAGGTTCAAATAGCTTAAGGGCACTGCCCAATGAAGGGTTGAATGGCATACTTAGGCTTTTAACCAACATCATGTGAAGATTCACACAGTTCAAAAACTGTACAAATTTTGGATTGACACCTAGGCCCGAGGCTGAATGGAATTCGTTCCGACGGCCGGCGCACAAGAACACAGTCTGAACACCGGTCGGAATCAGCGGAATGTGATCCAAATCTTGATTCCATATTTTGGTTGGCAAGCTCCAACAGTAACAACTTGACCGCCATTGACCAGTGAGGCAATTCTGGGGATGCTGATATCCCCTCGGAGTCAATTACGTGCCCGAGTCGAATTCCAACCAGGTTGATTAAGGCAATTCCCACGGTTCAAATCAATTTATTCACGGACCAGGGAAGTACGGTGTAGCAGGGATCCGGACTTGTGGCCTCGTCGAGGCAGACATTATCCGTTCTTTAAGATTCTGTCTCCTTTTTGTTTGCTCCTTGATTTCTGCGTCCCCATTTGTATGGAGCTCTTTTTATCCTCCTTTTTCAACCTGCCTGGCGGCCAATGGTATCCCCCAAGATCTACTTTCATTTTTCTCATGAGAACCCGAAACTCAACAGCTTTTGAACAGCATTATAGGCCATGTACCGCCGGCTCGAGGCGACGTATACCTGCCGGCAGCCAGTGTGATCATGTTCATCTTGAGCTCACAGCAATCTTCCCGAATTCGGTTTGCTTTTCTCCAACGCTCCTCGTGTTACTCAACAGCCTGGTCCGTGCGCTACTTATACTTCTGGCTTGGCTGCTGTGTGCATAGGTCCGCCGACTCGCCACGTATCCCTCCGACAGATGATTGCCAAATGGTACATATAAGAACACGGATGAAGTTTCACCGATCTCCCATGTTCTCTCCGATGTTGCCCCCGGGCCCACTGTCTCTGGATCTCATCCGAAAGTGGAAACCTCCTACCATGCGGATTCTTGAGGCTTACGAAACTTTGCTGGGCCTGCGCTCACCTCAACCTCGTGCTGGAATATCCAGCCTTCAACATCAGCCGTGCTGAAGCTCAACAATGTGTCTCGCCCTGTACCAGCGGAACTGGCGCCTGTATCGCTCCCTGAAATCCAGCCCCCGGGATCCCCTCTCATGTAAACCTTCTTCGAGTTACTGTCTGTCTCCAGGACGGGTGGCGCACTTTGTGCATTCTAACATCGCGGGGTGCTTCCAAGGTCTGAATCAATTCGCCGCGGCCTGGGGTTTCTATCTTCACAAATTCGGGCGTCGTTTGTTCAGGTTCAGAACGGGTACTTTCAGTCCGCGGTCATTTCCCCATGATTCCGAGCCATTGAGTGAATAAATACTCCCTTCTGAACTTGGGATCATTCACAAAGTACAAACAGAATTAGAATTCCTGGTCATGTATGGGCAGGGGCCTAGCGCACGCAAGCTCCGGCGGCTGCAGCGTCTCAATTTCCAAAGTTGTAGTGTAGTGCTATTGATACTAGTGTAAGTATCACAATTGCCGTCCTATTGTCCCTCACTCACATCGAATTCACCTCGAATCGTTCAGCCAACAACCAACCTTGAGAGGAGGTACTTACTCCTATTCCGATTTGCCGGAGCGAAGCGGAGGCATACCTTGTTAGATACAGTCTGACGTCTGGAAGATTAGCACGCGCATTAGGCGCCGCCGCGAGGCTAGGACAGATAACACACCGTGTCTCCGAACTTCCTTGCTGCTGCGTCCTTCTCGGCGTCTAGGTCGTACGTTTCCAACGGTACCTCAAAAATCACGCTCGACCAAGCCAGTAAGCAGACTCCCTAGTCTCAACATACTTACTTATAATTACTAGGGCGTAATGATTCGCGAAGGCAACATTTCGGAGCGCAATGCTGACTAGATAGTGGAACCTGGATCTAGAACGTTCTGCGACAACAATGTTTGGGCAATGGGCGGTAGCTTTATCGAAACAATACTGCGGCTGTTCAGAAACGGAGAGTGTATCCAGGAATTCCGTTGCTTGCGGGGAGAGAATTCACACGGTTCAATTTACCGCAGGATGTCCGATTCAAATGGGTTTGTTCTGTTGGAGGTAAAAGAACGAGAGGAAAAACAACTGGCCTCCAGGGTGCTTCCACACCTGGCTCAGGAGTCGGGAGTCGGAACTGTTGAGTTTTGACGAACGCGGGAGCGAACACAAGAGAAGTTTGCGATCACATTCCGGAGCCGGTTAGGGATCAGTGCATTAGGGCAAACGGATGCCCAACGCCTACAATCAACAGGCTTATATGTATACTACAAAATGTATCTAGGATATTCTATTGGAGGATGACTGAGAAAACGAAGAACAATCCAGAATATTCAAGGACTCGGAGGCCGAGGTTCCGCCGATGCCGGAGGTTGATGCGGTGTCGATAAGATAACCGTGAATAACTTGGAAGGATACTCGAACAGAGCATTCTGAGAACATGAAGGTGTCCTGCATTACGAACCATTTCCCGACTCGTCGATCCAACGGGAAGGAATGATCGCCTCTGCACATCGGAGTCTGAGTCACTGTGAAAACATCGGCACATGAGTTTCATGTCACCGTGCCATGAACAAGCAAAATCAGGGCCTGTGGCCTGAAATGAATAAAATATGTGTCTTGGGTCATTGAGGCATTATCCAGTGATGTCTACGTACTGCACCTCGTGGACAAAATCATGGCCTCGTCGGTGAATTTCAGGAACAATCGGCTGAATCAGTGAAACTGAAATCATGGGAGAATGCATGAAAATCAAAGAGAAAGCTGTAAATGAACATTGATAGAGTTAGGTGTTGATGCACAGGAGTGCATGTACGAACAAAATCCACAAACTCCCCCTCACCCTGGAGCCCAGCCGTGAGTGCAGCCTAACCCGAAGAACTCCACAATCCCATCCTTTGACCACCCCAATCCGATCCGCCATCCAAAATTTCTGCGAAGTTGCGGGCCTGTATTCGGTCGAGGAATTGTAGTGTTGCCGCGGTCCGGTCTTGTTCGGTTCGGGGCTAATTTTTTCGAACCCCGAACCGCACCGGCGGTTCGGTCCACCCAAATTGCCGAACCCCGCACCGCACCTGGGGTTCGGTCCGCCAGAGGTTCGGTGCGGGGTTCGAACAGGTTCGTCGAGGTTCGAACCTCAATTTTTTTCCCTCGCCTGGAACTCATAGAAAATAACTACAGACCTCTGATATGAACCCATGTTTAATATAATTTGAGTGGAGCGGTGGTGAGCTGCCATACACCAGCAGCTGTGCCATGTTGAAGCAACCCACCACGCACGATGGTGTCCGCGATAGCATACATATGGCCCGTGATGATGGACTCTCTTCCAGCTGGGTATAGATTTGATTTGAACCCACCCAAGGAGACAGCCCCTTTTGTTGCCGACATCAAGATGGTCACTCAGATAACGGTTTGCCGATGCCGCCGAGCCCACAATCAGAGATTTTGGTGCTGATCATCAATGTCAAGCAGCGGCTGATGGGGCCGATGATGCCGGGAATCATTGGTGACTACCACCCGAATGATCAAAACCTGGATTTTGATTGATTTTGGCCATCTGAAGAAGCCAATTCAGGGAGGTTCGAACAGGTTCGCACCGGTCCGCACCGGTGCAAAATTCTTCAGATGCTCTGAACCTTGAACCGCACCTCAGGTTCGGTGCGGTTCCACCGCCACCCGCCGGACCGCACCTTGGGTCCGGTTCGGGGTTCGCACATGTTCGGATCGGTTCTGAACCGAACATCGGCATCACTAAATTGACCTGATCTTTGTCTTGGCGTACCACACCGTCGGCTCGTCGTACTTGATGGCAATGTCGTAATGCGTCCCGATAGCATCCCGATAGCATCCTCTGCTCGACTCGCCGCCCTAGTACTCGGCTGTCCATGAGCATACCGCTCGGGTCCTGCACACCGTGACCAGGAGCCTGTCCCTCCGCAGATTCTGTGCCGTCTCCCCCTTGCCGACAACCCGGACAATCCACGGACCTTGGGGCTTTCCCGTCCGTGGCCGGGCTGACCATACTCGGTCGATCGACACTCCATCGCCAGGGCCCTCTCCTTCCATCCTCGTACGCCTCCTTCCTGCTCCCTCTCCATCCTTGACACACATCCACGCTCTCTCCATCTCCAGTAAGCCCCAGGGCCGGCGGCATGCCTCTAGCCCCTATTCTCCCCCTCGCGCATACGACCCGTGGTGCGGCGTCTATGCGCAACCAAACACCGACAGCAGCGAGAATGAACGTCGAAGAAGGGAGGGTGGGTGGGGAAAAGAAGTCGTCAAGCAAGGAGAGAGTCATTGTCGGGATATTGCCAGGAAAGGGGTTGACCAGCAGGGAGCCTCCAGCAGAACCACCCCGAGACTGTGACAGAGCAGGGCCGTACGTAAAGCGGGGTTGGCCCTTCGCTCTGACTGTGAATCTGTTGACGCAGGACGCTTGTCGACTTTAGATGGTGGCTTTGGACAACCCGGGAAGACCCCTGTTTCTAATATCAACAGATCGTATTTGTACACGCACTCCTGTGCATCAACATTAGGGTGTTCTTCAATCAACCAATTCCCGTCCGGATATCCCTCGACGACCACCTCGTTCCACAGTGGGATATTTGCATGGAGACGGACTTGAGAAGGGTGAATATTCAGTGTGTGGAGCGGGTGCTGCGGATGAGGTCAGTGGTGTCACGCCTGTCACGGCGCTCCACTTCTTCCTAGTCTCGGGACCAGACTATATACAACTGACGAACAAGTAGTTGTATATAGTCTGGTAGTAAACACGCGATTCCAAAGGGCGTGCCGGACCTTATGTCAGCACGTCACA